GCCCCCTACAGACTGGGATTGTTTCCTTCAGAAACTGGTGGAACATCCTAAAATCTGAGAATCACTACACAGTGTGGAAACAGGCCATCGGGTCCACACTGACTGTCCTAAAGCATCCAAATCAGAATAACTCCCCCCAGCCTTATCCCTGTCACACTGCATTTCCCATGGCCAAACCACCCTAACCTGCACATCCCTGGGCACTATGGGACAATTTTTAGCACGGCCAAACCACCCTAACCTGCACATCCCTGGGCACTATGGGACAATTTTTAGCATGGCCAAACCACCCTAACCTGCACAGGGAGGCACCCGGAGGAAACCCGTGCAGACGTGGGGAGAATGTGCGGAGTTGGCACAGGGTCACCTGAGGGTGGGATCAAACCCAGATCCCTGCTAACCAATGAGCCACCATGCTGCCCCTAAAAGAGTTGCCAGTGCTCTGGGATCAATGCTTGGCCTTCAGCAACATCGCAAAATACAAAGGGATCTTGTGATTCTGCTGTTTGTTTGCAGGAGCTTTCTGTGCTCAGTTGTCGCAGCCATTCTAGTGTTTTTGCAGCTGCTGTGCCTTCCCCCTGATGTTGGTGGCTGAGAGCTTTGGGATGTTCTGACCTGACACAAACCATTGTTGAGCTGCGATATTTGTGCTTTCTCTTTTTGTTCCCCCTTCCAGGAAGCTGGTTGTCACCAAGGAGAAGGACAAAAAGGTCGGCCTGTACACCATCTACATGAACCCCTCCAATACCCACCAGTTTGCTGTTGGAGGGAGGGATCAGTTCGTCAGGTGAGACACTCCATTTCTCCCCTGGGAGCCAAAAAAAATGCCAAACTGGCCAGCGTCTTGTTCCTTCAGGGGTCAGAGGCAGCAGCCCATCTTTTGAGTTGAGTGTCAATCTTGTATTGTCTCCCCTCAAAGCAGCGATCTGTAACCCTTTAATCAGTTTAGAAACAAGCGTAGGCCACTTGGCCCTTCTGAGCTACTCCAACATTGGGTAGGATGATGTAGCCTTGATTCTACATTCCCTTCGCCTCCCTTCTCCATCAGGTGTTTGTTGACCTCTGTCTGGAAAGCATGCATCCTCATTTGTCCACCTCAGCCTTAAAGATATTCAGTGATCTACAGGCTAACCACTGTCTGATTAAGAAAAATCTCGTCCTCTCTATCTTAAATGTGAGACCCCCTTTATTCTGAAACTGTCCCTTCATTCTAGGCCACCCTTTGCAAATGATGCCAAAACTGTACACAATACTTCAGCTATGGCCTCACCAATGCTCCACAAAACTGGAAGGCAAATATTCTTTTGTATTTGTTTGAGTCACAACAAACAGTTTTCTGTTTACACTCCTAACCCCCTTTTTATTCGCTTACTGTTATTTTTGCGATTAATGTACTTGACAACTGTGTATATCCTTCTGTACTTGAGCTCAGCAGTCTCTCTCCATTTTAAATAATTCTGCTATATTTTTAATAATTCTTCCTGCCAAAGTGGGCCAGTTCACATCTTCTACGATTTTGTTCCCCATGTGGCAAATTTTACGTACTCTTTTTAATCAATTTGTGTATATTTGCAGGCTCCTTGTGCCCTCCACACTTTCTTACCTAATGCTTGTACCCTGGCCTTCTCTTGCAGGGTGTATGACCAGCGCAAGATAAATGAGAATGAGAACAATGGTGTGCTGAAGAAGTTCTGCCCTCATCACTTAGTAAGAGAGCCCCATCACCTTGCCCTCGCTCCCGCATGCTCCGTCTGTGTGTGAGCGTATGTTCCCAGTATCACTGTAACTGTCTCCTTATCTATCTCTCTGTCCCTCTCTGGCAGATCAACAGCGAATCGAAAGCCAACATCACATGTCTGGTCTACAGCCACGACGGCTCTGGTGAGAGGATTGGGAAGGTCTGACCGTGTTGCTGGTGTGGGAGGGTGGGGGTTAAATCGGGCTGTGTGGGCGGAAGTAGTACGGAGGAACTTTGTCCTATTTTTATTTTTCTCTCTCTCTCTGTGCTCCTCAGACCTGTTAGCGAGTTACAACGACGAGGATATCTACCTCTTCAACTCTTCCCACAGCGATGGCGCAGATTACGTCAAGCGCTACAAAGGACATCGCAATAATGCCACAGGTCAGCTACTGGCCCTGTTGGATTGCCCCACACGGGCTGGGCACAGATTTCATTTCTTTTTTGTTTTGGAGGGCTATCCCAAGTGGGGGTGGCTACTTGGAGTAGAATGGATCTCCACATGCTCTGTTTTTTTTTTTTTGATTTTGCCTTT